CCGAAAATAAATGCTCAACTTTCAACTTAATTTTCTCAAATACACCAAAAAACACCTTCCCTATTTTTTTAAATATATTATTTCGTATCTGAACAATGTTTTCCCGCAAAATTTAGCTGCTCATACTTGCTCATTTGTTAGATAAGTGATTTGAAAGTTATGTTGATATTTCCGTAAAATTCAGTAATAAAACATCATTTTTTAAATATTATACCATTTATTTCACTTTTTTAATTACCAGTTAATGTTCAAAAATGCAATAAGTTACTCTAAATCGAAAAATATTACGGTTTACTATAAAAAAATAAGACGAAAACTGACATTTTAAGTCTTTTCCTTCTATCTCCAAGGTGTTACGCCGCAAATGATTAAACAACTTCGGTAGCCGATTCCATTACAACAAATCATTTTAAATTATTATCCATGTACTGACTTAATATTTCGAAGTACTCTATAATGCATAATTATTTGTGTTTTTACTATTACATATGTCTGAACTATAACGCACCGGGCGCAACTGTGACACCGGGCGCGCATAGACATATATATATATAGACCCAGCGTTCTGTGAGTGGAGTTGTCCGCGTCTTCTAAAGGACAGAACGATATAAAGGAAGGTGCTGTCTCCGTCACTCCGCAGGTCTGGAGGGGGAACTTTAGAAGACGCGGACAACTCCACTTACAAAACGCTGGGTCTATATATACATATGTCTATGCGGGCGCGCGGTGTAAGCGCGCGCGCGCTGATCAGCTGTTCACGCGCGAAACCGAGCGAGCGTCGAGCACGCGCGGGCCGCGTGGTACCATGGGGCCGATCGCGTATGAGCGGCCCGCGTAGCGTTAATATGAATTTATACCTGTAAGTGCAAAAGAAAATTTTGTCAATGCTGCAACGCGGTAAATTGCTTGGCGTTGAAGGAACGCTGCGCTGACCGGATTCCCATGCATCAGTCCCCGCCTGGCGGTCCTTCAACGGCAAATCTGGGATTGCCACGTGAACATGAAGTGACTCTCAGGCGGGGAAATCGTGTGCATAAAAAGTGAAGTCCGATTAGCGCAATTAATTAAAGGAGCTCGGCGTAGCCGCGCGCAAGGGGTGGCTCTGCGCGGCCACCGGCCCGAGTTGAGGGAAAATTTCACCGAAAACTTCAATGGTTAATCGTATAATTAACTAAGTACACACAACACCATACATTCACCACTGTACCTCACCTTGCCACCCCTTGTGGGGTATATAAGAGCGGGTCGCCGAGCCGAAATTCGCACTCCAATCCGGATCATCGCGGTAGACTAATCTGTCGAAGTGAGTTAGCTTAATTTTCGCGTCAGTTCGGACTTAGTGTTTTCGCGTGCGTGCGGACTTAGAATTTTCGCGTCATTTCGGACTTAGTGTTTTCGCGTGCGTGCGGACTCGGGAGATTGCGGCTCCTCCCCCTTTTTGTATTTACTACACGCAAAGCGATATTAAAACCGATCATCCATAGCCGCAGTATTTCCTTTTTTTTATTATTCATTTACAAAACTTTATTTCCTTCCCTCGAGACCCAGCGAAATCGGGAACATTTTGTCGATCGGCCGTGTACTGTCCGGCGAATTTCTCCAACGATCTTCCTCACGTCCCACCCCTCGTCGGCTAGCGCTTGCCGCTCCTTCCGACCGGCCCCTGGTTCATGGGCAAATCCTCTCCAAACGGCTCGCGCGCTGCCCACGTTCATGGCATGAAGCGTTATATAGCTTGCCGTTTTCCCTCCAATCCTGACGTTCGCCGGTCCTCGGAATAGTAGCGTCGACATAGGTTTCCTAAAACAGAAAAGGAAGATTAGCCGCCGCGCATCGAGAATCCTCGACACTAGAATTACTAATCGGAAAATTTCCTACCGGTCCGTCTCCGATTCATCACCAGGCATACCGTATATCGCGGGCAATTTGTAGATGGGCAAACGTCGTCGGTGAAGACGCGGCGCGGCGGACGGAAGGTACAACTGTGGCTGATGGCCAAGGAGTACGCGGAGGCTGGAGATTTTAACCCCTCCGTCCTCGACCCGCCTCACATCTCGGGACCAGCTCTCGTGGCGTTACCCCCGGTGGCCCCTCGGCCCTCAGCGCCTTTACCACCTCCGGCGGAATTATTCGCCCCCGCGCCCAGGGTACCCGATCAGAACCAGCGGACCTGCCCGAGTGCGAACGGCGTCAAAATCCTAAAAATAGAAAACCTGACCCAGACAATACGGCTCATCTTGCGCGAACAAGCAACCACTCAATAAATGGGCAGTCGCCCTGATACATAACAAGAAACTTACCTTTTTTGCCTTGTCTTCCCTTGCTCTCTTCTTGGCGTCCTGGAGCAAACCCACGCGACGGCACATGTAAATAACATTGACACTCGCACACACAGACAACTCTCGTTACACAGACGCGCGTGAACGCCGCCGCCCCTTACAATGCGATGCAATCCTTGTCACGATGAAACTGATATGTTGATAGCGAGTCGTCATATGAGCAGTGCAGGTAATAAGCGATGCTAAATACTTCATGGTGCTGATATGTCTTCGGATCCGTATCCATCTTTTTCAGGATACACTCCAAGTCGGCGTAGACGACAAACGGCACACGTTCCTTCCTACTGTGATTGTTAAAACTGAGCCACTTTTCCTCCTCGCTGGGTAATATGATCGCGCAGTTATTTATCTGTTGACAGTCCACGCTGTGGGCTTGCAACTTGATGTTGGAGCTAAAGTAGTGCAAACATCTGGAAAGAAAAACATGTTTTTAATATATATTTTTTCAAATAAAACAATTTTTCATAAATTTTATTGATACTATCCGATCGCAAATGTGCTTTTTGTGCTCCTTCTTGCTGAGTTGAGAACTGACGAGGCGGGATAAGTTTTTTATCCAGACGAAGTGGCCCACTTCAGCATCCCCCTGATCTTGCAGGTACAATAGGTTCACGTGCTTCTCCTTCTTCTCATCAGCGACTCGTAGCGGTACGATTGTGCGTTCACAATTGTTCTTTTCATCGATGCTGTATACATTGATGGAAATACTGTTCAATTGTTCAAACTTTTTAATACCACTTAATGTCATTGGCATTGGAACGTCTCGCAGGTTTAACACATCACTGTAATGCGGATACGACGACTCGCGCTCCGCGTGTCTTTCAGTTGGATAGAGAGCAGCGACCACTGACCACGCGAAACATGCATTGTCCATGGATTGTACGTTGATCACTGCTTTCTTTCGTTTCACCACTTCTGGCATGTCTATATGGCATCCCGCGCGCATAGGATTGCATTTGTTCACGTTAATAGTCAAGTTGAGTATACGCGACAGCGCCCACCCGCTATCACGCTCCTGAAACTCTTCGAGTTCAGCTAGAGTCGGACCGATTACGCGCGACTCGTACCACTGTTGTAGGTCCGTTGTAATAAACAGTTCATAGTTTTTGTATTTATGCTTTTATTTGCACGTTTATCAACCGCCACAAACTCTCCGTTGAACGCAGTATTCACCTTTACACAATTATAGCGCTCGATAGTGTCTCGCACATGCTCGATCACGATATCGCGAGCGTCATCGAGAAATTTGCACGGTTCAATGTACTCCGCGTTAATCACCGCACCGGTAAGCACGCGGTTTTCGAACGCGGTGTCGATCTTGCACCACGACAGTTGTGCTCTCGAAGAAGTTCCAACACCACCACCCCCGAAATGTACGAATCGTCTTTCAACTCGGCACTTGACACTCTCGAGTCGCGCGATTTGAGCCACCAGCGATTGTCTGCTACCAATGGATAGCCTTGGACGTTTGACACGGCTGTGTTCCTCTAGCCCTGCGATACACTCGTGGCATTGTTGCAGCCACCCCAAATAATCACCTAATGTGACGATCCTGTCGGCTCGCTCCACCAGATCTTGCTCTCGTTGTTCCATGTTGTCGCGCTAGCGTCTTTTCAGACTTTATATTGTCCACAATGTTTTTCTTCTCGATCTCGTATAAAATCTCCTACTGTGGTGCAGCAGGCTTCCGGACCGATTATACATTCACTGTCAGCAGCCAGGTTTAGGCGCTTGACCTCATGACTCATGCCATGGATGCGCGCAGCTGTGTGTCTGCGCTAATCATTTGTATATCGTCATCCCCCGGTGATATCTATTACATGCACGCGCCGCGGATTGCCAAAGACTTTTGTCAGCAGCCAGGTTTCGGCGCTTGATCATACCATGGAAAATAATACGTGTAGCTGTGGTATCGGTGCTAATCATGGACATCCTCAGTGATATCTAGTACATGCTGACGCAGTATATAGTGCGAGTTTAAACGCGGAACTTCCCTGACATCACGCACCTAGACAAGAAAGTCGCTGTCAGCAACCAGGTTTAGGCGCTTGACCTTATGACTCATGCCATGGATACGCGCTGCTGTGTGTCTGCGCTAATCAAAGACATCCCGGTGATATCTATTACATGCACCCGCCGCGGATTGCCTCACGCCGCGGACCTCTCCTTCCCCGCGTCGAGAGATCGCGTAGCGTCGCGGTTCTCCCCTTCCCCGCGTCGGGGGATCGCGTAGCGTCGCGGTCCTCCCCCTCCCCGCGCCCCCGCGGATCGCCAAGTGCTGCGGAATAATAAACGTAGGACTCCTCGACATCGTTCACCTTGATAAGAAAGTCACTGCCCGCAGCCAGGTTTCGGCTCTTGACCCTGTGACTCATAAGAATACGCGTCCAGGTGTTTGCGCTAAAAAGAAACGAATGACAGGTCAGCACCTAGATATCTGTTACATGTCACGTAGTGACAGGTCAGCACCTTGCGTGACGTCAAGGTCGCGTACTTCCCTCCTCCCGCGGTCCCCTCGCCGCGGAGTACCCCCCCCTCGCCCCGCTCCCCCCTCGGAGCTCCCGGGGTAGAACCGGCCTATATACCCTACTCTAAAACTTATAATCGAATTCGACGAAATTTTTACTGGGATAATATTAAATCTGATATTCGAAATTATATTTATCAATGTTTACAATGCCAAATTAAAAAATTAGTTAAAGTAAAAACCAAACAACCGGACTTCCGTTTCCGGTGTGAACGAGGGTGACACGTGCGAGAGTCGAGCGAGAATTGAGAAGGCGAGAGAGAGAGTGAGAGGAGCGAAGCGAGAGCAAGAGTGAGTGGAGGTGAGAATGTGAAGGGAGAGGGAGGAAGGGAGAGGAGGGAGATAAAGGGCGGGTGGAAAGGGATTTGAGAGAAGAGAAGATAGGAGAAAGCGAGAGGAGACAGGTTAGGGCACGGAACAAGAAACGCGGAGAGAGGTGAGAATAGTGAGAATAGTAGGAGCGGCGACAGGCGCGAGCGCCAGAAGGCGTAGAGTAGGCAGAGCATAGAGGGGAAACAGGGTAGAGAGAACGAGTAGTACAGGCAGGCCATAGAGTAAGAATAGAGAAGGAATAGGGAAGGAAATCTAGAAATGGAGGAAAACGGCGGGGAGGGTCAAGAGGATAGAATAGAATTAGAGAGAATAAAGAGAATAAAAGAAAAAGGAAGAAGCGGGAGTACAGGAACGCTAGAGGAAATATGGAAAAGGAAGAGAATAGAGTTGGATAGTAGTGGGGGGGAGGACATATTTAAAAAGAGTAGGAAAACGGAGAGATCACCGAAGGAGGGGGCAGAGGAAAGAGAGAGAAGTATAGAGGAAGTGTTAAGGGAGATGATGAAGGAACTGAGGAGAGAGGTAAGGGAAGATAGCAGAAAAATGATAGAAGAGTTGCAGGAAGAATTTAGAGAGAGGGAGAGGAAGGCAAGAGAAGAAAGAGAGAAAATAATAAGAGAAGGGAGGGAGCAAATGAAGAAGTGGATGGAGGAGAAGGAGGAGATGAAAAAACACATAGAAAGGATAGAGAGAAAAATGGAGGAGATGCAGGCAAAGAGTCAAGGATCGAATGGACACGGAGGAGAAGTAAATGAAGAGGTGAAGAAGATAGAGGGAAAGATGAGAGGTATAGAGATAAGACTAGAAAGGGAAGAGAGAGAAAAGAGAAGGAAGAATATAGTAATAAGAGGGATAAGAGGCGGAAAAGAGAAGGGTAAATATTTCCCTTTACATAGCACCCGCCAATCAACTTCCGTTTGATCTTGATGTTGACCTTGGCCCCCAAGGAGGTCAAGGTCATTGCCCATTCCCGTCGCTCATTGTTTGTTAAAAAGTTATGAAGAAAATAAGTTTGTATCGGGTTTGCGTATTTCTGTAAAGCACAATATTCTTGTGTGCGTATGGACTTACAAATGATGGAAAATTATCTGCTCTACAGAACAGTTAACCCGGGTTAAATATATACAGTTTTGGAAATTTGGAATAATCCACGCGCAATTGTTGGAAAGCATACGATTCACTAAATCAAATAAATAATTATCAGCATGGTGTTGTGAATCATAGTACTAATTTTGTGGATCCAACAACTGGTGTTCATACACAAAATATAGAGCGTGTGTGGCGTGATATGCGAGCAGCAATTCCAAAGTATGGGATATCTGAAAAGCATTACGAACATTATTTAGCAGAATTCTTATTTAAAAGGATGTATGACTTTCCTGTTCGTTTGGATACATTCTTCGATATTATGTCTCATTGTCAGATATATCCATTAAACGAAAATGTACTTGACATTGCATCATAAATATATTTTGACATACTTGTTTAGGTTTTTATGTATTTGTACTCCCACCGTTATACGGAAAAAAAGTTTGGTTTATGTGTAAGTTGCAAGTGCTTTTAGAACGGCGCGCTGCGCGCGCCCCACCCCCCTCCCGCGGCCCGCCCCACCCCTCCATCGCCCTCCCCCTCCCCTCCCTCCCCTCTCCCCCACCCCACCTGCTCTCTCTCCTCACCTTCTTCCCCGCACTTACCATAGACATAGAAGATAGAAGATAGTGACACGTTGGGAACACATACTGGGTCTATCTTTTATGTCTATGCAACTTGCCACCTTCTGTCATACCGACGATTTGTAGCGATACAATATGGGTTGCGTGGTGGGGTGGGAGAGGGGAAGGGGGAGGGGGTGGGGCGGAGGCGAGAGGGGGCGGGGCGCGCGCAGCGCGCCGTGCTAAACGCACTTGCAACTTACACATAAACGAAACTTATTTTTTTCATAACTTTTTACCAAACAATGAGCGACGGGAATGGGCAATGACCTTGACCTCCTTGGGGGTCAAGGTCAACATCAAGGTCAAACGGAAGTTGATTGGCGGGTGCTATGTAAAGGGAAATATTTACCCCTTTCTTGCTATCTCCTCCAATTTCCATCTCATCCTTCTCTGCTTCCACGTTAGGTCGTCTTCAATTCTCACTCCTTTTTCTCCTAACTTTCTTCTTTCTCTCATCAATCTCTTCTTCTCCTCCAATTCTTCTATCCGTACCACCGTTAGTTTTACTTCTCCTTCCTTTCCTTCTTCTATCCGGTAAATCCGGAAGGAGAAGTAAAACTAACGGTGGTACGGATAGAAGAATTGGAGGAGAAGAAGAGATTGATGAGAGAAAGAAGAAAGTTAGGAGAAAAAGGAGTGAGAATTGAAGACGACCTAACGTGGAAGCAGAGAAGGATGAGATGGAAATTGGAGGAGATAGCAAGAAAGGAAAAGGAAAATGGTAAAAGGGTGTGGCTGAGATATGGACGGATTCAGATAGAAGAGAAATGGTGGAGGTGGGATGAGGAAGAAGAAGTAATAAAGGATGGAGAAGGGAGGATATGGAAAGAGAAGAGGGCGAATAGATGAGGTAAGAGGTAAGAAAGAGGAAGGGAAGAGGAGATATGAGACGGAGAGGAAGAGGAAAGGAGGAGAGGGGAAGAGCTATAATAAAGGTAAAGGAAGAAAGGAAAGAGGAGGGAGAGTAGAGGAGAAAGGTGATGAGGAGGTAAGTGATAAATGTAAGAAGATACAAAGAGGAGCCAGGGAGGAGGAAGAGCAGGAAATAAAGAAAGGTAAGGGAGCAGAAGAGGAAGCGGATAGGATTAGAAGAGAGGATGGAGAGAACATAAAGTTAGCATTTTGGAACGTAGCAGGTTTGAGTAATAAGGATAGAGAATTCTGGAGAGATCTGGAGAATTAGGATGCAATAGTAATGATGGAGACATGGGTGGATGAAAAAGGGTGGAGAAAGGTGAGAGATAGACTGCCAGAGGGATTCAAATGGAGGATGCAGGCGGCAGTAAAGAAGAACAAGAAGGGAAGGGCAGCGGGAGGAATGATTTTAGGTATAAGGAAGGAGGTAGCAATAACGGATACAGAGAGAGAGGAGGAGTCAGAGGGAATCATGGTAGGTAAGATAAAAGTAGGTAAGAAGATAATCAGGGTGGTAGGACCATACGTGAATGGGGACATGGAGAAGAAGCTAAGTATACTGGAAGGTTGGATGGAGCAAAAGGAAGAGGGAGTAAGAACAATAATAGGGGGAGATTTCAATGCGAGGACGGGAGAGGAAGGGGGAAAGGAAAGTATAGAAGGAGCAGATGAGTGGGAGTTCAAGAGATGCTCGAAGGATAAGAGGATAAATAAGGAAGGAAGGAAACTGATTCAAAGTATAAAGGAAAGAGGATGGTTTATTTTAAACGGAGGAGAGAGAGGAGACAGGGAGGGAAACTGGACATACTCAGGAGGAAGAGGCGAGTCAGTCATCGACTACGTGATAGTGGAGGAGGAGGCGGAGGAGGAAATAGAGAGAATGGAAATAGTAGACAAGATTGATTCGGAGTCATCAACCAGTAGTGGTATGGTTGAAGGGGCATAGGAAAGTAAGAAGATCGAGGACGGAGAGAGAGGGAGGGAGAGGTGTATGGGATGAGGAGGGGAGAGAGGCATTCAGAGAGAAACTAGGAGAAATAGGAACAGGAGAAGGAAGATTAGATGAAGAAATAGTTGGAATGGAAAGAAGAATTAGAGAAGCAATAGAGAAGGTAGAAAGAGAGAGAGAAATAGGAAGAAGAAAGAGGAGAGGATGGTGGGATGAAGAATGCAAGGAAGTGAAAAGGATGGCGAGGAAAGCATTAAAAGAGTGGATGAGAGGAAAAGGTGAGAGGCAAGAATACAGAAGAAAAAGGAAGGAATACAAGGAGTTATGTGAAAGGAAAAAAGAAGGGAACAAGAAATTGGAGAAAGAAGCGGAAGAGGCGACCACAGAGGAAATGGTGTGGAGGGTGGTGAACGCGGAAAGAAAGAAAAGGAAGAAGATAAACGGGGAAATAGAAATGAGGCAATGGGAGGAGTATTTCAAAACTTTGCTGGGAGGAGTGGAAAACAAAGTGATATGGGGTGGGAAAAGGGGGGAAAGAACGGGAGAGGAAAAGGAAATAGAGAAGGAAGAGATAAGAAGAGTAATAAGTAAGGTGAAGGATGGAAAAGCTGCAGGAAAGGACGGAATACCGAATGAAGTGTGGAAGTATGGAGGGGTAGAATTAGAAAGATGGATTGGGGAGGTATGTAATAAGATATGGAAAGGGGAGGGATGGCCAGAGGGGTGGAAAGAAGGAATGATAGTACCAATCGTAAAAAAAGGGCAAGGAGGTAGTGTAAAAGATTACAGGGGAGTAATGATAATGCCGACGTTATACAAAATATACGCGTCAGTTTTAGCGGAAAGGATAAGGGAGGAAATAGATGAAAAAGGGATATTATCACCAACACAAACAGGCTTTAGGAAAGGGATGGGAACAGTAGACAGTATATATGTAACAAACTACCTAATCAACAGGCAGATAAAGAGGAAGGGAAAGAAATTAATAGCATTATTTATGGACCTAAAAGCAGCATATGATTCGGTAGATAGAGGGATATTGATAGAGACGATGAGGAAGAAGGGAATAAGAGAGGACATAATAGAGAGAGTAGAGGAGATAATGAGAGAGACAACAAGCAGGGTATGGGTAGGAAGAGAAGTAGGAAAGGAATTTTGGACAGCAAGAGGATTGAGACAAGGATGCCCATTAAGCGCAGACCTATTTAATATACTATTGGCAGACCTAGAAGAAGAAATGGGAAAGGTTAAATGGGGAGGGATAAAGCTGGGAGAAGGAAAAATTTACTCACTTACGTATGCGGACGACGTGGTGGTGATGGCGGAGGATGAAGGATGCATGAGGAGCATGGTGGAGAGGCTGGATAGATACATGGATGGAAAAAGGTTGGAATTGCACGTGGCAAAGACAAAGATGGTAAGATTTAAAGAGGGCGGAGGAAGGTTGAGTAAGGTGAGTTGGAGATAGAAGGGGAAGAAGATAGAAGAGGTGAAGGAGGTGAAATACCTGGGGTATGTATTACAAAGGAATGGAGGACAGGAAGCACATATAAGGGAAAGAGTAAAAAAGGCAGCAGCAGTATCAGGACAAGTATGGGGAATCGGAAAGAGAAGATTTGCGAGAAAATGGGAAAGAAGGATAGCGCTATTCGACAAACTAGTATGGACAGTGGCGAGTTATGGAGCGGAAATTTGGGGATGGAAGACGAGGGAGAAGATGGAAAGTCTACACGAGAGACACTTGAAATGGATCTTAGGAATTGAAAGATGGACGCCAGGATACATGATAAGAGAGGAGATACAGAGGGAGATGATGAAGAGCAGAGCAGGAAAAAGGGCATGGAAATTCGAGGAAAGACTATTAGAGGGAAGAGGTAGCGTGTTAGCGCAGAAATGTTTGTGGGAAATAAGGGAGAGTGCAAAGGGAGGTAGAGATATGTCAAGCTGGGAGATGGAGAGAAAATTATTTTTGGAAGAAGAGGGTCTAGATAGTAGGAAAGTAGAAAAAGAAAGGGAGGAAAGGAGAATAGAGTATGAGGAGATAGAGAGGAGGGACGTGGAAATACAGAGAGAAGAAAGATGGAAAAAAATAAGGGAGTCAAAAAGCAACAAATGGTACGGGAGATTAAGGGAGAGGGGATTCCGAGATATTTAAGGAAAGGATGGGGCGAGAGTAGATGGAGGAGAGTGTTAAGATTTAGACTAGGCAACAAAATGAAGGAAGGAAGATATTGGGAAAAGGAGGAAAAAAGAAAATGCAGATTGTGTGAGAATGAGATAGAGTCGTGGGAACATGTGTGGGAGAGTTGTACAGAATGGAGTGAAAAAGGAGAGGAAACGTGGCAGGAGGTGTGCATGAGAATGCTTGGTGAAGACGGAGAGGGCGAGGAATGGATGAGAGAGGTAGAGAGGGAGAGAATGATGAGAGAGACAGAAGGTATGAAAGAGGAGAATGAGGTGAAACGGAAGTCCGATGGGAGGAGAGGGGAGGTTGCGAGGGGGGCGCGGGAATGCGAGAGAGGAGTGGCGAGGGGGCGAGGGGTGGAGAGCGAGCGAGGGGGGGATGGCGAGAGACCGAGGGTGGAGTGGAGAGAGATAGATTGCGAGCGACTAGCGAGGGTAGAGTTGTAAAGGTTTGGGTACGTTCTTGAAAAACGCCAGTTTTGTAAGAGGTTTGGGCACATTCCTCTAAAAACGCCTTGTAATCCCCGAGGGGAAACAATAAACGCATATATATATATATACAAAAACCAAACAACCAATGATAATCACCGATACACCTTTTTCGTCTTTCGAAAAAATATCAATGGATATATTAGGGCCTTTACCTGAAAATTCCAAAGGAAATTCCTATATTTTAACAATCCAAGATCACCTAACCAAATTTTCCTTGGCGATCCCTTTAAAATCCATAACTGCTGTGCAAGTAGCTGATGCATTATTAAAATATTTCATTTGCCTTTTTGGAGCCCCCAAAATAATTTTAACAGATAGAGGAACAAATTTTACGAGCAATTTAATGAAACGATTCAGTAAACAATTCAAGATTAAGCAATATAAAACTACAGCCTTTTATCCACAAGCCAATGGAGCATTAGAAAGATCACATATAGTATTAATAGAATATTTAAAACAATATGTTAACAAATTCACTGAATGGGATGAATTATTAGAATTTGCAACTTTCTCATATAACACAAGCACACATGAATCAACTGGATATACTCCATACGAGTTGGTATTTGGAAAACTAGCCAGACAACCTTCTAGTGAAATAATTGACGATGAGAAAGAAAGAAAGTATGATGATTACACAGGCCGACAAAATTTAACGAAACTCCAGACCCTGAGACCAGACTATACTTTCCCAAAGGTTATCGGTCCGCTAAATCCGAATCCGACCTCGGAATTGCTCCATCACATCAAATTTTCGAGATATCCTAACCTCAAAGTGCAAAAAACACAGTTTTTCACTATATTCGGGGTTATATTAGGTAAGAACAGTAGGTACACTCCATCGAAAAGTTGGAAACGAATATGGCGACTTGCACAACCAACAACATGGCGGTTGTCGTCTGCTAGACAGTGATATTTCTGACATATCCTATTAACCTAACATGTGCAATATTATTTATGCCATTATTATTATTGGTTTATAAAAATATTTTTAAAGTAAAACAAAAATGAGCAATAGAAGTGGTTATCGGTGTGCGTTTGAAGATTGCTGTAGTGTTAGCAGTGGAAAAGTGGGATCAAAGGAAACTTTGTTCCGATTTCCAAAAGATCCAGAAAAGTATGTGTATTTATATTATAATTATAACATTCTAATAAATACATTATTTGTATGCTATTGCAATGAGATACATGTTATATGAGATACGTAATACATTTTGCAGATGCAAGTTATGGATAGCAGCATGTAACAAAAAAAATTTTAATATGAAGGATCCCATTACCCTATACAATAGTTATAGAGTATGCAAGAAGCATTTTACTGATGCAATGTTTTTAAATTTTGAGAAAACTCGTTTACAGCCACATGCTATTCCATTTTCTACTGTTAATGATATTGGTATATATACTCGTATGTATATTATATACAGGGTATACTAAAACCCAGTGAGAAATGATTCGTTAAAACGATGTCGAAGAGACATCGATATTGTCAAATTGACGTCGATTCGACATCAATCGACGAGTTATTTCTCGCTGGGAACAACCGGATTTCCTTTTAATTAAAAATTCTTTAGAAAATGAATATTTTATAACATGTTACATATTTTTTTAGTGTGCGTTTGCGTGTGCGTGTGTGTGTGCGTGTGTGCGTGTGTGCGTGTGTATGTATGTGTGTGTGTGTGTGTGAGATGATATGATATAATTATTTGAATATTATAGTTATACCGGATAATACAAATGGAGGCATCGACAAGCACAAACATCATAATTTCCTTAGGAGACCAATTAATAGATAAGGAAAAAGGTAATTCTTCAGGTATGTTAATATATAAAAAATCTCATTTTATAAAAATAAATTTTGGTATTTAAAAAGTATTATAATAAAATACATAATTGTACATCAATATTTCTTGAAGAAGGAAACAAAGATGCACAAGTACAAACACCGTTGACATTATCAAGAGCATCACCCAGAAAATGTCAAATTCGAAATAAATTAAAACAGGCTGAAAGAAAAATTCAAAAATTGGAATCCATGTTACAGAATAAAGATAATGCAGAAATAAGTATGAACGTATTAGATGCAGCAGTAGATAAATTTTTTCCAGCAGCAACAGCATATTTTTTAAAAGCACAAGCACGTCTATTTCGAATAGACGCCAAAGGCAGGAGGTATAGTTCCGTTTTTAAGCAACAATGTTTATCTTTATATTTTTCCAGTCCAAAAGCTTATAAAGATTTGGCGATTTCAAAATTATTTTGCTTGCCTAGTCCTGTAACATTGAAACGATTCACACGTACCTTTTATTTAACTCCAGGCATTCAAAATGTAGCATTTCATATATTACAAATTAAAACAGAAACATTTAAAGAAATTGATAAATATTGTGTTTTATGTTTGGATGAAATGTCTTTAAAAGCACATTTACTTTATAATTCAACAAGAGATAAAGTT